GTACATGCTTGTTGTCTATTGATGTGCCCCAAAACTTTTTAAAAACAAATGTTATACCTAGTGGAATTCAAGTAGTTGTGATCATTTATATGAACCTCGTGTCATCGTAATTTCTTAATCATGTCTTTGACATGGAAGAGCAAGATTTTCATGGGGACCACAAGGATTGAGGAGATCACCAAAACAAATGTGGAAAGTCGATGCAAAATTTTCCTTGACATGAGGGTGTTGTTCAGTAGGATGAAAATTGTAAGAAGTTGTTTGGCAATAACATGGAAACTGGGTTTTGGTTCTTATGCTTTAGCAATTCTTAGAAGGTTTCAACCATCATAGTGGAAGGATGAAACCTCATGGCCTTGAAATTGAAGTTAAAACCAAATTTCCTTTTACAATGGAAACCTGCTTATTTGCACCTGAATTTTTCATATATTCAATGCCAGTGGTAGCTTAACCAAAGTTGAGTAAGCATAATAAATTCTGGTTGAGCTTTAGTAACCTTTTCCGCTGCCCTGGATGGCCAGAGTGATACTTAATTCTAGTTGAAACTTTAGTTGGGTGCTATGTTGGTTTATTTTCTGGGATGCCTCACCCTTTAGATGCTGTGCCTGGTCATCTGATCTGATGATCCTTTTCATAGTTAGCAGGGTGAGGTTCTTTGGTACATGAAGCTTTTTTTTAAACCAACTTTAATAAAAAAAGGCTTCTTCTTTTCAGGAACTCCATTTGGTCATACTTCTATTTCTTCAAAAGAAAATTTCAGAGCAAAAGGTATGGTTTTTTTTTAATATTCTTTTGCATGGTGAAGTTGTTATAGCAGGCTGGTCTCTGAGGAAAAGAGAGATCATGCCAATACTTTTAATTGAACTGTTATGAGTTGGTAAAACTAGGGAGTTATGTGACCTGTTCTGGGTTTATATGGTATAATATATAGAAAGAATGAAATTGTATAACATGCTTTTTCTACTAGAAGTGCTTTTGAGACCTAAAACCACTATCAGATAAATTGAAATGATATAGAAGATGGCATCTTACCATTCCTAGTCTGCTTGGTTAGAGGAGGAAATGTACTTGACTCTTGAAGTTTTGCTAATTTAGAGCAACCATGGAAATCTGCCAGGATTTCTAATGAACTTTTTGTGATTTTTGGATGCTGTTTGATATGTAGATGCTTTCACATTGCCCACACAATTTTATGTGAAATTTCACTAAAATTTTCATCTTTGTCTTAATAACATTGAAGCTTCTGACTGTGCTGCTAAACATCTATGGTATTCATTACTTTTTTTAATGTAATGCAAAGTAATTTGCATGTTTAGATGCTATTGCATCGAGGCTTCTAATCATTAACTGGATTGTTAGCAGTCTGCGTTTAGATATCCACTAAACCAGATATTTTTGGCCTTCAAACAATATCCTCTAAAGAAGATTACCAATGGCCTTTTGTGTAATAGTCTATCTTGCCTGCATTTCTATCTGCTGCTGTAGGGGTTTGTTTATTTATCCTCTTTGTTTAATGTAGTGGGAAGTAAAAGAAAAAATGCAATATAAGAAAGAAGCAAATGCAGAACGAAAGTAAATTGCAGTATTTCATAATCAGGTTTGGACTTCTGGTGCATTCCAAACTGATCAAAGTATCTGCTTTTTTGTCAGTATTCATGACTTTTCATTATAAAAGGCTAAACGTATCCTTCAGCATTCTTTTTGTAGTTATGTTTTGGCTGAAAAAATATTTTCATATTGACTGGTTGTTCATATTTGGAATTAATATGACTAATCAAATGCATATGTTTGAAGGAGCTAATTTCCGTCACACTCTATACCCTTCATACAAGAGCAACCGCCCCCCTACACCTGATACCGTAGTGCAAGGTCTTCAATATTTGAAGGCAGCCATCAAAGCTATGTCCATTAATGTGATTGAGGTAATAGCCATATATCAGAAATGTCTATGATGAGGATTCTGGTGTTAGATATTAATTACGAATTTACTCCAAGGCAGGTACCAGGGGTAGAAGCAGATGATGTCATTGGAACATTGGCTATAAGGAGTGTTGAGGCTGGTTTCAAGGTAATAATCATAAAACAGAAGTCACTTTCTAAAGCAGGTTTGGTAGGTTGTTCAGAGAAGGGCCTTTCTAAATGAAAATCAGCTGCTTACTTTGGTTTGTATAACTTGTTCTTCCTCCTAAAAAGAACCCAAATGAGAAAACAAGAAACTTGTTTCAAATAATTTATTCAATCTTCTAGAAAAGCTGTTATTATGTGGAATTATGTTCAGGGATTACCATTTCAAAAAGTTTTCAATTTGTTCTCTGTTTCTGATTTCGGATTGATGTGTGCTTCAATTTGGAAAGGCCACAGTGAAGCTTTTAGGGTACATTCCCTTCATTTTTGTTAACATGTAACCATAAGCTGACTTTACAAGGTAATTTTCAATTTTGATTTTGGTCATAGGCTGGGAACAGATCATTTAAATTTATCCCGTGCAATGCTAGCCATAAGAAAATCTATGATGATTGTCTATCCTCCATGCATGCAAATAATATATCCTGCTAAGTATAGTTAGGAAAGGAATTGTATAATTCTTTCCCCTAATTAGTTAATCCTGATATTCATGGGTACAAAGTTAATTATGTTTTTATTTCTTTAACAGGTGCGTGTTGTTTCCCCTGACAAAGACTTCTTTCAAATTCTATCTCCCTCATTGCGTCTTCTAAGGATTGCACCACGTGGAATTGAGTTAGTATACGTCAAATATTGTCCTTCATTCTTATACGTTTTTACTGTTGATATCTCTATTAAAATTAAAGCAAAGCATGACTATGATGTAAACCATTCTACTGTAAGAAATTCTCTTTGACTTGTAAAAATTAACCAAAAAATAATATAAAAAGCCCATCTAAATTAAACTGCAAGCATTTTGGTCGTTTGCATACCATGCTGGTTTGCATACCATGACAGAGTGCTTGAGCAAGGTTGGAATTCAGGATCACCTTTTGACACTAATTTTGATGCATAAGAAGATCTTCATGCCTAGTGTGATTAATGAAACCAATTAATGCAATATTGGGATCAGTGGACATCAATGCATTGACTTAGTCAGCTTAGTTGAAATGAAACTGCAGCTTGTCTAAGTTTTTTTTTTTCTTTTGGCCAAAACAGATTGTCTAAGTTCAATTTCTTTTTATGCTTAATGAGAATAATTTGTTTATCCTCTTTACACTGGATTTAACAATGCTTTCCAAATTAGATCTTACTACATTACATGTAAGAATTTAAAATTGATTTTGACAGTCTTTGTCTGGTAGGGTGGTAAATAACAAGATTCAAAACCATGGGCTTTTAAAGTTCCCATTTCACCTTGGATAGCAATGTTCTTTTTGTAGGCATTTACATTTGTTTTCTTTTCCCAGGATGGTTTCATTTGGAATGGAGGAATTTGCTGAAAGATATGGAGATCTGAAACCATCTCAGTTTGTTGATGTTGTTGCTCTTATGGGCGACAGTGCTGATAATATTCCAGGTTATTTGTTAATCACAGTTCCAAGGACCACATAAGAAAAGGAATAATGAGTGCATCTCCTCCTGTGTTCTACATTCCTTTATCATGGTGCCAATTGACAAAACTGTTCAGTTTCTAGGAACAATACATTTTACTTGTTCTTTATGGTATCAAACCCTAGCTTCTATTTTCCCCTCTACAAGTATATATATGTATGTATATATATATATATTGTCTAGTCATTATAAATTATTTAAGCTATTTTGCAATTGTCAACTGCATTGGTATGTGTCTCCACACTTCTGGAATCAATTAGAGAAGTTACTCGGGAGTTTACATGTCTCATAACTTGTTCTGAGCTCAAATATGCTTTAAGTGATTGACTGATTAAATATAGTTTCTAAATGCAGGTGTTGATGGTATTGGAAACGTTCATGCTGTGGACTTGATAATTAAATTTGGTATGTCTATGTCATGTCACATATTCTATTTCAAAGGAGTGAACTGAGTACCCCTTCCATCTGTTTACTGTTCTCTTCCCAGTTTATATATTGTATTGATGCTTAATCTTTTCTTTTATGTGCAGGTACATTGGAGAATTTATTACAGTGTGTTGATCAAGTTGAATCCGAACATATCAGAAAGGTTGTGCTGATCATTTACGAACTTTACTGGTGTTATAATGGATGTGTGCATAATGCTAGTAAATTTAGTTTACGGTTTTCATTTAGTTGTTAGCTAGGCAAACTAGGCTATAGAACAGAGCTCATTCAATCCAATATGGTTTAAGTTAATTCTCTGTCATTAACATAAAACTTGGTCGAGGATTTGAGCTGGATATAGATTAAAGTCCTTTCTGACAAATAGAGAACCGTTTCATTAGGCCTTGTATAAGCTTTGTGGTCGTGTGTTTATGTATTTTTGTTCATTTTTTCAGGCCTTGATAGCACAAGCAGATCAGGCCATGTTAAGCAAGAACTTGGTAATCTTGTCATCAATGCCCCCTGTTCTCTATATTCATTATGATCTTAGAACTCTATTCTGATATGTGAAATATGTTATGGCAGGCAATGCTGCGTTGCGACCTTCCATTCTACATGGTACCGTTCGATACTAGACAGCTTACGTTCAAGAAACCAGAGGTTTGTGCAGTGTGGTGGTTCACCGCTTGTTGAAATGTTCGTATACGGTATGTGTGCTAAAATGCAGACATTGATAACCATGTTTCTTGTGCAGGACAACGGGGAGAAATTCACGAGTCTCCTGACTGCCATCAGTGCCTATGCAGAAGGATTCTCAGCTGATAAAATAATTCGAAGAGCTTTCCATTTGTGGAAGGAGCTTGAAGCAAAGTGATTTTTTTTTTATTCTATTTGTTCAGGATTCAAGATCGATGATCAATAGATAACGTGCATTTTGTGTATAAATGACTCTGCTATCGGCTGATTTTGAAACTGGGTGCAGAAGTGCATAACAATCTATACCTCCATTAAATATAAATTTGTCCATTTATGTTCATGCCTCTTTGGTAGTCTTTTTCATTTGGCCATGGCTGCCAATAACTTCAACCGTCTAATAATAATCTCCTTTAACTAAAAATAAAAAATACTAAAGCCCTAATCATGTGCATACCAACTAGTTGAATTAATAGCATACTTAGCTTGAGAGAAATATGAAAAAAGAGAGGGAAACAAAAGGAATTAAGAGTAAAATATCAAGTAAAAAGCTTCCCCTTATCTCCTCTCCTCTTCTCCTCAAACAAAACATTTCCTAATTTAATTAAAAAGGATTGTTTCTTATTGTACAACCAAAGAAGAAAAAAGATGCCCGAATGTAGTAAAAAATTAATTAAGCAGATGTTTAGTCAAATGCCAATTTGTGGATTGAGGGTATTACCATTCCAGCATTTGCTTCAACTGATGTCTAAACTAGGCCAAAGAAGCTTAAAAGTGCCCTACTCCTTAACATGAAAGCAAATTTAGGATCTGTGAAGAAAAAAAAGATAGAAATGTCTGCCACACATGGAATAAATTCATGTGTTTCTCAAATTACCCCAACATGAAAGGGTTACGTTCAAAACTCTAAGATCCAATAATGATAAAGTTAAAATGCTAATCCCATAAATCCATAGTTTATAGCACAGTGTTCAACAAAACCCCAGGCTTCGGCATCTCCTGAACTTCCCACAGTGCTGGAGTTGGCGCTGCCAAGTACAGATTAAGTATCAACTGTTACCTACAGGCTACTGGTATGATAGTGGAGTGGACAAATGAATTTGGAGTCTTGAAAACAACACGAGGGCGAGATGGTAAACAGTTGATAGAAAACAAGAAAAAAAATTGTTATAAATGGGCTTTAAATAAGACTAGTACCTTTAGCAGAAGGTTCTTCT